AATCATACGTCGCTGTAAACAGAATACAAATCATATAAAGATATGTAACATATCTATTTATATATAAAGCATGGAAGACATGTAACATAAAAAATAAGTACAATTTGCGTCAAATTCTGCAGTCTGTTAATATTTCAATGAATTTGTAGAATCGTTCCCTTCTCCTCGATTTCAATAATTTTTTAATATGTTATAGAAATCAAGGTTTGAACAATTTTTTTCTATACGTGTAATTGTCGGTCTCATTTAGTTTTCGAGATATTTGCAAAAAATTGTAGGTGTTTTATATATATACACACATATATACATACACATATATATTATATATATATACATTATATATATATATACATATTACATATATATTATATTAACATATACATTATATATATACATACACATATATATATACATACACACTATTACAGTGTGTGTGTATATATATACTGTATATAATCAGTTCTATATATATATGTATATATAACATATATATAACAGTATATATATACTGTATATAATCAGTTTCAATAAATTAGACTTATATTATATAATAAGATATATATATATTTTTTATTTATATAATTTTATATACAGCGAAGAACTCCTAAAAGCTTATTGGTTTTTATATTAATCATATGATCATTTAATATAACTTATTCTTTTAACTCTCTTTTGTTGCTAGGTTATATAATGTTAAATGATTTGATCATTAACACTTTACATTAGATTATTTGAAGTTACAATTTCTTAATTTTAAAATATATAATTCTAAATAATTTCTACAATGATTATTCAATAATTTTCGAATATTGCAATTTATATATTCTCCTCAATGCAAATGATAATATTAATCGCTTAAAATACGTGTTCGGTTAAACAAACTGAGAGCAGTGTAGGATATCCGAGACGTGGTAACTTTTGCTATCTGTGAATTTTTAAGTTTCTTATCGCATGCTTTTCGTGTTTCGTGTTTCATGACTTCTTCGCTCAGGATTATCTTTCAGTCTTCGTTGCTTTTTAGTTACTCGCAATAAGGAATGTTTCGTTCGCAAAGAAATCAAAGACGCAAAATGTTAAGGCACCCATGTTAATCTGTTAAAAATAAAGTAATGAAATGATGTGTAAAAATTGCGCAAATGCAACATTATCAAACAAACTTATTATATATGTAAATATATTAACATTATTATTAAACCAATGATAAAGTAAGCTGTAAAATGTATGCAAGAAAAGAAGTTTTACAATTTGAGAAAAAAGTAATTTGTCATAGTACTATAAAATATTGCAATTTCTTCAAACTTCATAAAATTACTAAATCTAGATGAAAGAAGAAATAGTAAATACGAAACGAAGAAAACATGTTTAGTAAATTTTTGGAATTTCTTTTCGTGATCATAATGTGAATACGATAGAGTTAAATAATGTGAATTGACTATAAAAAAAATTATAAATTAAATGTCCTGAATAGATTAACAGAGTTGAGCTATGGATAGTCGATGAGGTTCAGGTTGCTGAATAAAAGTAACATTTCGCTGCGTCACTACAACGTCAACTCGTCCATTGTCAAGACAACATTAGCGGAAGTTATGTGGAAATAATTCATGAATTCTGATGCTATTCGTGTTACTTCTCGAACATTGTTTTATTTTTATATTTCATAAAAAATTCGAAAGAGGAGATTACTATGGTATAAAGGTGAAATTACTTATTGTTTATTAAATTTTCAAAATTTTATTATAAGCTTTGTATTGTTTATATAAAATTGGAAATTGGGACAAGAACTGACACTTGACTTAACACTGATGTATAATACAAATCGTTAAAAACGAAAGAAAGAAGGAAAAAGGATGAAAGTATCAGCTTTTCAATAATTACAATACAACAAACCTTAACGCATAATCAGCGACGTTTGTCATTTATTCTTCTCGTTACTGGACAATCAATATACGTATTCTATTCGAGACATTTATCCGCAACTACAAGTAATAAATCATCGTAATCAGTTTCTCCCATTTTCTCTCTATCTCCTTGAATTTATAATCTGAAAAAATTGCAATTAATTCACTTATTAAATCCCGCTTTTCAGCCTTGATTTGTATTATAATAAACATATATTTTAATAAATATATTATAATAAAAATTATAATACAATTACTACACAAAGATATATATAATATATATCTTTAATAATAATAATAGTAATTGTTAAGATTTCATTAACCCTGTGACAATAAATTACGTTATATCTATAAAAATCATTTGGAAAATTAAAAATACAAGACCAACGGATGGTACAAAAAATATATATATATATATATATATATTATATTGTTATACTCATTTATAGATAAATCTACAAATAAACTTAAATTGTAGATTTGTATTAAGTATGTTGTCTTCGAAGGTTTCTTTTAACGTCTGAGTATCCGCACTCGTTTCAGCTGCTCACTCCCACCATAAGCACTTCTTTTGTGTGTAGGCTGGAGCGTGTATGGAAGATGAAACCGATAATGACGTGTCTCGATCGCGTATAATCTCACGAAAAAGCTTTATGTCGATGACTAGACTATTTCTGTAACTTCATGTTTTTATAAATAAAATTAATAAAATAGAATTTTGGATTAGATTATTTTATTCTTAGCGAGTATTATACTTTACATATTTTATATGAGAAGCATATGGCTAAAGCATAAGTTGTTTTTATCTTTTATAGAAGAACACAATTTCATATTTCCATAAATTAAAGAATAAAATTAAACAAATGGTATTTTAATGGAGATTTTTTTCATACTGTAAGTATCACACCAGGTACTATATTTCAGGTGTTCTATATATATTGCTGCACATTGTGTACGTTCTATACATTTTTTAAGTTTTCAATTTCCTATAAAACGAAGTTAAAATATTCATTTGTAAAAATAAAATTTTCGTCGAGCGAATAATCAAGAACATTTTTATGGTACTGTAGTTGGATTTTCCGTTGTATTGTGTCTAAGTTTCAACGTAATCTTAATCTTAAGTATCAACGTATCCGTTGAAGATATCTCAAGCGATTTGCATATGCATTTGATTTATTTACGCTGGTTCTATATTTTCTTCTAATGTCTTTTTTTACTTTTCTTAATGTTGAGCTTGCTAATCGTGGGGAAACCACGCAAAGATAAATATTTATTACCTTAACTATGATTGACAAGCATTTTATTGCAATTTGCTAAAAAACTTATTACATGTCAACATTGGAAATGTTAATAATCAATGTTATAAAGATTATTTCTATTATTAACTTTACCTTTACTATGTTTATATTTTATATTGTAGTTTTTATTACTATTTCTATTGTTTTATTACTTAACGAAAAAAGATGATATATATAGTTCGTTTTAGCAACATTAAGCGTGTTACAAGTTTATGGTTAGAATTTCAATTGCAAGGATACGTTGTGCACCTTACAAACATTTTCTCAACCTTCTTATGATTTCAAGTCTGCTTATTATACACATAGTATACATTTACATACGTATATACAAGTATTATGCCACCAATACCAGCGACCTCTAGTTTTACGATACTTTCATTACTACATCAGATGAAATCATATTAATTCCTTAAAGCTGAATCGGTGACGTACCTTCTATAACGTTACGTAACCTCAAAGTGTAATAATATTTTCAAGGTAATATAAGCAAATAAATTAAGTTGGGATAGAAAATTAAAATATTTGTATAGTCGTATATATTAATAATCAAAACTATCGACCTTTAGTATATATTTCTCCTAAAGAGTTCCAGTAAACAGTAAATCAAGATTAAAAAGATATGACAAAAATAATTATATGCATAGAAATACGAAGGTGCATATCTTTTTTATATTATTATAATAAATTAATATAGCCCAAAGGTTAAATTTTCATATTGGTTCTCTTACGTTTGTTTACGTTATTATGTACCTCTATATAGAAAATCTAAGTATACGAAAATGTGCAGAATGCACATAACGTAGAAAAATATCTAAACTAAACCATTCATTATTACATTTAATAGACAAAACAAATGTTTACTTAGATACTATGTAAAGAACGAAAGTGTTACAAAACTCTATTTACCGTATAAACCCTTTGTTATAGTACCAGGACTGCGACATATTCGACTAGAATGATACTTTTTAGTTGTTTTTTCACATAAACAAGGCGCAAAAAATTTTAATCAGCCTGCTGATGTATGACGTTCTTATGGATTTTACCGACTCTTTTTTTACAATTTAATATCCTTAACCTGTTTTATAGCGTACTCTGTAGTGGATTAAATTTTGATTATCCTTTATTTTCTGGAATTTTTATGGCATTGGCTGTGCCATAACTTTGCCGCTTACCGCTTACCGCTCAATATGAACATGATATTATGCAGATTTTTATAATTAATACTTAAGACCGCAGTTAACCAAATGTTTATAAAGTCGAATTTTCAAAATTGCTCATTGCCATGAAAAATGTCCTCACTTTCGGTTGTAGTATTCTAAAGTATCTCTCAGAGCACATATTCAGCATCAAAAATTTTGTAATCCGGATACTATACTTTATCAAAAATATGGATAATTTACAATGGATAATCACATGGATGGATAAACATCCGCAGTCTAATTATTATTGTCTGTATAATATAGTAACTATAAAAAATATTTGCACACTGTTGAATTTACTATATCATTTACATACTGATTAATAAGGTCAAAGTACATTATAATTGTCATATCGTTTGATAATACGTACTTTCGTATAACTACAACAATTTGATACTAAAATAAATTGTTTAAAAAATGTTACTCCGTTAGAAATCGGTAGTTGTAGTGATCAAAGAAAAAGATAAGGATTATGAATTATTAAATTTATTTGCATGTTTAGATTGGTTTTCCTATATCTGTTCACGTTATCATTTAAAAGAATGTCATTATAAGTATGATGCGAATGTATTAATTATACCTATGTATGTTTTACCTTATTGCAGAAGAGCACGTGGCTTAATAATGTGCGAATAGTAATCGGTTGGAAATCAAAACCATCGGGACTCGACCAATCGAAAGGGAGGGAAGAAGGACAGAATCATTGGTGCTGTGTTAGACATGCGATTACAGACGTGAATTGTGGTCAGAACGAACGCAGCGACACTCGTGGAAAGAAACCCCAAACGTAGTTTATCGAACGATGACCACTTCTGCCCACTGTTCTCCATCCCGATCGTCGTTAAGCTGCTGTCAGGTCGAACACAACAGCCGCGATGACGTACACGGAGTGACAGTTGCCGCGAAAGACAGTTATTTCGTAGAAGATAAATACTCTTTCCCCAGAAAGCCCGAGGTGGACCTCGCTTTTTATGACGTCCGATATAGAGTAAAAGAATGGACCTTTCGACAGTTAAGACCCAGTAAGTTCACGTTATTTTTTCTATTTTATTGTGAAAAACTTAGTAGATTAGATAAAATGTCTAATACGAATAGACGTGTTTTGAACATTTTAAAATTGATGTGAATTCTTACATATATAGAAAAATAATTAGATTTTGAAAGTATATATAAAGGGATCATTCAGTATTTTAGAGTTGTTTGACACTATTTGTTTCGTTTTATTATAAGAAACCTAATGCATAAGTTATGTATAGCCATGTATTCCGAGAAGCGAAACAATATTATTGTCAAATAAAAAAAAAATCATAAGATAAAGAGATTAATTGAAATAGATAATTTGATAGATTCAATGAGTTAACGTAATTTTTTCTATTTTATTATAAAAAATTTAATAGATTAGGAAACACTTTTATGGGTACACTACAGCCATTAATTACTTACTAAAATTATTATAATTTTACAAGATTTTCTAAATGTCTATGTCATTTTTTCTATGTTTATCGATATATGTAATTTATACAAAATTTAATGCGTCCTCAAATATTTTATTTTATCCCTGTTGAGAACCACTACCCTAAAGCATTATTTTTCCCGAAAGAATTCTCTCCGAAAGAATACAAAGCCATGGACGAAAGTAGGTTAGTTGAGGTACGTCAAACGCGCATAGATCTCAGCATCATGGTGATGCATGCTGCATGACTACCGAAACTCCTTGACCGGATGATTTTGTTACATTTCATTAAAATTATATCATACAAAGAGCTTCGTAATTCGAATATCGAAAGGAAATAAAATTCAGAATACGAAATATCTATATAAATCGAATCTCTTATCGTTTATTCAAGATCTAATGTTAGAATTCTAATATAATGTCTATTGTATTCAATCCGAATACAGTGATTTGTGTTGCCTTTCATATAAGGTGAGAATAAAAACTTCTATTTTCTTCTACTGTGATGGTAACTTTATTGCAACGATGTCTTAATGTTCAGAATCATCCTTTATGAATATGGTAATATTAATAGATCTCTTTTTTCCCATTTATGCTTTTCTTTACTTCGGAGCGACAATAGCAACATAGATGAATATCATATTGCAGTATAGTATTATATTTATAAGATGTTAAACATTAAGAAATGATGTACATAAGCTTCCTCCGTTGTTCTTATGTCTAGATTCACATCTTTTGAATATCGCCCAACTTTTTTAATACCTTGTATGGTAATTATAATAATGATATTTTAATCTCTTCATGAATAAATTCGCTTTCCGATAGAATTATTATACATATATTAAAGGCGATCATATTTGTTTCTGAAAATGCAACGTACAAAAACTTTTATTTTATCGGTTATTTTTGGAATAGTTCACCTCGTAGGTTAGTGCTTGATAATAGTTTATCCGATTGGATCGCGTTTCTCCGCTTTTTAGCGTAATAAATGTCGTCGTGACTCTGAGAGAAAGCGATGTTGAAGTGGTCCTGAGAGTAGCAAAGAAAGTTTTGAGCGGAGAAAGTTAATGTTGGGCATTTTGGAAACATTTCGCCATTATTAGATGTTGGCAGAAAACGTTATAATCGATCGAAAAGGAGATTCAGGTGGCAAGAGGTCGCCACCATAGACGTCAGTACATGTGTAGGAAATTATGATTGACTACAATAATTTTTAATTAATTACAATAAACGTGTAGTTGACGTTCTATGCTTATAAACAAACATTTTTTATTGTTAAATGGGCCAAGAGTATGTATTTAGACAAGAACAGTAAATATAAGAGTGCATATATGACATCAGCTAATTCTAATTTGTTTTATTAAAAGTCGATCCAGGCTTTTGACCGCAAACATTTATCTATGTTCCAGATTTTAACTAATTTGAATCTTAATCGATTTTGACTATTTTATTATTCTATTCGATTGTTCATCTTTAAAATTATTTCAATCCTTTTTTTAATGTTATATTTATATTTTTGTGTGTTATATTTTTCTAGTTTTACCATTTACTACACGTGTTATACAAATCATTTACTAGAATTGTTATTCATAAAAATTCAAAGGAATAAGGAAGACTCATAGCATGTATAGTTAAATATAACCATAAATTCGTTTTTATTGCACACTACTCGATGGCATGCGGGCATGTATATACGTACATACGTAATATATATAGTTTGCGACGCTTGGGATGATTTCTTGGATCGTCCATTGCTTGACAAAGGAAAAGATGCGTCATCACTGCTAGAGCAGAACAATTGACGGCTTGAAGTTGCAAATTTTTATCAAGTGATTTCTATGTGCGACTAATATTTGACCTTAATATTCAATCATTGAATCAGTTCTATATAGATTTGCATATTGAATTATTCCTACGTTGTATTGTCAGGATTAAATATTCTCTAAATATCGAAAATCACTATTGTAAAATTCGATATAACGAACTCCAGGACAACACCAACAAAAATAAAATAATAGTATTCTGCAAATCCGGCAAACTAAAGAGGAAAATGGAGCCAAAATATAATGAGAACGAATTAAAAGTGTTAAAATACTACATCTACTGCATCTAGATGTTACTTTTACGTTCTTAGGGGCATTCAATAAGGCCTGCGAACAGTTCCTAGCAAAAGTTAAACTGCTCTGTGGGAGTACTTTGGAAACCACTCATGAAGATAAAAATATACAACTGGAAAGCAAAAATGAAAATATTCAAACGAGACGGCGCTGAGAAAGGTGAAAACGTAAGAAATTGGTATACACAAATGAAAAATATATTTAATAAAATGGGTTATAGTAAATTATACAATCCATCAGCAAAGAGGGAACTTACCAAACATCCTAAAGAAAATCAGGGAGAAATATATCCTAGAGAAGAAACATAGTATCTTAAATTCCAATTATAATCCGATGTACAAAAGTATCAAGGATTTGCAGGCATATAAATGTGAAGACTACATATATTCAATTTCAACTGCCAATAAACATAATAAGAAACATAGTGCAGCTCAGACTAGCTGGAAATGAAGAAGCTCATTTAAGTAACAAAAACGACGACATATTCAATAATTATGAACTTGAAACCAAAGAACATATACTGTACTAATGTCCAAGGAATCAGCGAGCAGATTGCATATTACAATGGAATACTCTGAGACACCGTGAATAGCAAAAAAAAGCGGAAACAGTATATTATTTTGAACAAACAATATTGAAAATAGAAGTCTTTTATTTAAACTATTAATTTTAAGGATGCTTAAAATATAAGAGTAACAAATAAGAACAATCTCTGTACCGAGACAGAATCGTAATAAACGACTATTATTATTATTTATTATTATTAAATTCGATATAATATATATGCGAAATATGCGGTTGATGTGGCATTAAATAATAGAAATAAGATAACATAAAACAGAATGAATGATAATAAATGTTTTAAATATTACAATTCTTTATTATACGCTTGCCCGTGCTAGGAATAATGAATTCGACTTCCGTTTGAAAATTGATAAATGCGAAACGACATAATATAGATGACAACAGCGCATGCATTTCATATGACGATGTTCCGAGAAAAACCTGTTCAATAGAGTATTGTTTTTTTCTTTTCTTTGTGTGTGCACATCTCATCAATATGAATGTCTGCGATGAACACTTTATTTACGCGTGTTTTTACTAATTTTATGATTTATGTATGCATATAAATGACAAAATATATAATGAAAAAATATTAGATTATATAATATAATATGTAGTAAAAATATATTTAGCATAGTAAACTATAGTAGTTATTATAGCAATAATTATTAGTACACATAGCATAACTATATAGGCTTTATAATAATGTGAACTTTTTATTTTTATTTATAATTTAAATCTTCAAATATTCGTTCGCTTTAATGAACTGAATTTTCGTTAATAAATGAAACTGCAGAAACGTTTATTTTGAAATTAATGTAAGCCGTTTTTCTGTAATCTGTACTCTGACCAAACAGTCGACGTACCTAATCAAAAGCGAATGATAGCGAATATAATTCTAATCTCTGTATCCAACATAATATTCCATGTACGGATGTGAACAACTTGTTTAAATGCGATTAGGTAGTATACTTGTAAATAATTATTACATTTATTAATTTATTATTATCATTAAATTAAATTGTTATAATTAAATGTATGTATTATTACGCTTAAAGCATTATTAAATTAATAATAGTTTTATATTTATATCGGTTCGTATCGAAGTGTAAATTTCAAATTCGAGAAAGTATTACGTATTCTTGTTATCTTGCTTTCTTATCTCAATGGATAAGTTCGCGTTAACATTAGAATCTGATAATGATACAGGTATATTTACTGTAGTCCAATATAATAATATTATGTTAATTTCAATTTATTTACAGTTACATTCTATTTGTCTTCAAATATCAAACATAAATTTTAAATAATCAAAATTTATTCAATTCTACAATTCTCTAATTTTGAAAATAGAGTAAGCTCACTTATGACCCTGAAAAGAGATATTAGGCTAGGTAATTCTCAAAAAAACTATTTGTGTAATGAATTCACATCTATTTAAACATCTAGAGACATGGACGAATTAAGTAGACCTTATTAGGATTTTTCAGTTGATGGAAACGCAAACACTTTAATACTTCAAAATGAAAGAAGACAGATTTATACCACTTTCAAAATAAGCCATCGATATTATAACTATATCTATATATACGGAATGAGTCAGTAATAATGTCCACCTGAAAAAATTCGTTTATCTATTGACTTCATCAAAAAATGATTGAAATAAGATTTATTGTTTTCGAAAGATCTGATCAGGTGAATATAGTTCCATTTTTTTGTTATACTATATATATTCTGATATCTTAAGGTGGTTCTGAGACTTTTTAATGGCACCGTATATTTTTTCATACACATTTATAATTTGTCAAATTTAACGCATGGTAGATAAAAACAATATAAATGCAAGAATATCGCTTCGCGTCTTTTCGTGTTTTACTTTCTTGTAGAGAATATCCATTTAGATTGACTAATGTTATAAAAAATATATGGTGCTATTTAAAAAACTTAAGGTCACCTTAATATCTCAAAAATATAAGATATGTATTAAAAAGTCGAACTATATTCACTTGATCATCTCCCTCGAATGCAATAAATTTTATTTCAAATATCTTTTGATGTAGTTAATAAGTAATGAGTTATCTCAGGTGGTGATTCTTACTGTCTTACCCTGTATATACGACTATAATATACTATAATAATATATATCATAGAAATATATACTATATACTAGATATATATATATACTATATATACTAGAAATATATATATATAATACAGTAACTTTATACTTATACTTTAATACCATGTTGTTATTACAAGAGCTTACAATTATTTACATTACTAAAAAAGCAAATATGTGCATATTTGTCTTGGACAAAAATGCACTCTGTTATGGAAATGTACGACTTAGTGCAAAGTCATCGATTGTTTGTGTCGTTAATTTCATTTTCATTATTGTCTTCTTTTGTCCTTCGTTTCGACGTGGCATTTATATTTGTTTATACGGATAAATATTCCACGTAGATAAATACAAGAACAAAATTTTTCTCATGAATTAATGCAACGCAAATTAAATGACATAGAAAGTTCCATCTTAAATGTTATGCATTAATAGAGTCTACTATAAGATCATTTTATAAATCTGATAGATTAATACAATTCATAAAAGACTAATTAATATTGCATTTCAACCAATTTTGACAAAAAATTGGTACGATGAATCAAACAGGATTAAAATATGACAAATTTTAGTATATTGATTAACGAAGAATCGTTTTCTGCATCACTGAACCATGTCGTTGATTACTATGGTTTCTCAGAATGTGCGAACCAATTTTTTTGTGAAGTTGGAGTCTCTTAAAAGAGCGAATATTTTTCAAGGAGAAATTCTACTAAAAATATTGGCACAAAAAGACCGTGTTAAATTTAAGTACAATTGCTTCTATTAATAAAGCGAGGATTAATGAGACGAAATGCTTCGAATAGATATTATAGATAAATGATCTGAAGATAAATCGTAATATCAGTTCATTGATGTCTCCGTGTTTTAGTTTGTTAATTTAACATTTGATGGAAGCCATTGAAGCTCATCCTATTTTTCCGTTCATTGACTCTTCTTCAGCAAAAATTTAAGAAATTTATTTGGTAGAACTAATTTGAATCTTTCTAAAATAAAACAATTTAAGATTTCTTATTTGTTGCTAAGAATTGAAAATTGCACAATTGTTATAATACAACTATTTAAATCCAAGGATAGTATAGAGATCTCTGTTTTTCATGTATGTTTAAGAAAATTAATCATATTTTAAGAAACAAAGATTAAGGAATATAAAGAATAGAAACAATTTTTCCATCTTCTTATTGAAAAAATCCTATTAATCATCGTTATGATTACTAATTTGTGGTCTATCTTTAAAGCAGAATGCGACAAAATTCTACTTTGAAAATAGAGATTATAGAATGTAGGCAATATAATGCAGAGAATAAAGAAAAATGTTCTTTTTCCTCAGTATAGAATGCGAAGAAATTTTATCTTACAAATAGAGATTAGGAAATATAGAAAACATAATTATAGGGAATAAAACTAGTTTTTCCTTTCTCTTATAGCAGGAAGCAAAGAAACAAATACAGACTACATGTAGACTACAATGTAGACAGTATAGTATAGAGAGTGAAAACAATTTTTCCTTTCCTAATTGCAGAATCCAAAGAAATTCTTCATGGTATCAGTGGGGAATTCAAAGCTGGCGAACTAGTCGCCATAATGGGGCCTTCTGGGGCCGGGAAGTCGACTTTGTTGAACGTCTTAGCCGGCTATACGTGAGTATTTATTAGCCTAAGCCAAGGACGCTAAGAACATGATTTAGCGGCTTCTAGTTATCGGTACACTTGAACGTGAACGTACTGCGTACATACTGTTCTTTACTACATTAATATTCGTATCACGAGTTTCAATATTCATGCACATTGCTTTTTGTGCTTTAATGATTATTGAATTTTCGCATGCAAAAAAGATTTTTAATGTTTCAGAAAGATATTTAATTTTATTATTATTATTTATCTATCCTATTTAATTTCAGTTTCATCGGTCTAGAGATAAATTTCGCTTACAAGTTTGTTCATTCATTCTTCCATACTTATAATATCTGCCTTATTATCGTTTCTTAGTTAACTAATTACTTCCTTACTTAACCAAGAGGATGTTTTATATACGATTGAAATCATGCATACCAGTCAGAATTTTCTCACATTCTGTCCAAACTTGGAATATTTTTTAAAGCTAGAAAATTGGATCGAAACTGACTGAAAGAACGCAGCACGATCAAAAAGATCATTATGTTATACTGATTGTTCTCTTATACTATAAGGAATCTATTAATGAAACATATTGTATATTATATTATTATTATATTATTATTTATCTATTGATAAAATATATTATATTATTATTTATCTATTGATAAAATATATTATATTAAATTATCATAATATGATAATGAAGTACAATCACAATTTAACTCACATATTGCATTCGCTTTTTAGATGATTAATTCATTCGAACACGAATCCACTATATATCATAGCACACGTAGTTACTCATGGAGGTATATAAACACCTGTTATACAAACTTATGTATTATGTGTTGCATTGAATTCTCTTTTTTTTAAGTTATGATTCAGATATTTAAACTAACTCATCTAGACAACATAAGTATATAAAAGAGAGTAAATATTTACAAAAAAAGGAGGCACCTTTGTTTTCGCCGATTTTGAAATGTGTTGTAAAGCTCAATATTTTAAATAACTTTCCTATATATCTAACCTATACATATAATCGGCCGTCGGCATTAGTTTTCCAGCTATACGCAAAAATATCCCTCTGGTAGGTTTCAGTTCAGAATTGGGTTAGTATGGTTACTGGCTGCAACAACAGCAATGTTTTGTTATATCTACCCTTTCGTTTCGTTGGACAAACCATATTAACATTAACCCGGTCTGCACGCCGTGATGTAACCGGCCAGCATTGTTATATATTCATTATATGTTACATATTCATATTATATATTCATGTTTACATAAACAAGTCTCGACACTAATATGTTGAAAGCATAGAAGAAATCGTTCGAAAATTAAGTCGTGAAAAATCAACATGGAAGAGTAGAAAGGTCTCGTTACGCATGCGCAACATGCTATAAATGCTAAGACGAGAAACACTCTACTCATCTTTGTCTGTCTCACAGTGCGTGAACTTTGTTATCTTCCTTGTTGGCTTTTTCATGATCCAATTTTCAGATGATTTTCCATAGTGAGTATCGAGATCTCTTTATATAACTAAGTGCGGCGAGATATTTTTATGTGCAATTCAAAAATCAAGGTTGGCTGCTGGTTATATGTATAGAAAAAAGTTGTTCAAAATGTTGAACCCTACATTATATTTCAAAATCGAAATCGAAGATGACCTTTTTAATGAATATTTATCCCCAAAAGTACAAAATATACATTAACTAATTGTAAGTAAAACGTATGCTTTTAGAAATCATTCTGTCAGCATATTTCTCTGTAGAAATATTTACATATTTAAAAATGTCAATAATAGTGAGAATTACATTATGATTTCTGCGAGTAATTGCTAATACGTTTCTCTAGAATCTGATTCTACTAGAATAAATACTAGGAAGTTGCAATTATATGTTAAATTGTACTTTGTACAACGTCATGAACTATACGTGACGATCATTGAAATCGACGATGAATATCTTAATTAATTTCTGGAACACGAGGAAGTATCGCCTTAGAAATTTACTTTCCAGAAAGCCGTTCGTCTTAATGATTATTATATAACGCATTAAGGGTAATTCATGAGTCATGGATAATTACAAATAGATTGAGTTGATATAGAATCAAATAGGAAAGGAAATTGAAAAATTGATTTGGATGAGGAATTAGTTATGAAAGTGAAATAATAACAGATAAAAAATCAATGAACTAGCTAATCATAAAATTAAGTAACATAATTTATAGATTAATCATTGTTTTTATTATTAATTGAGATTAATCTAAAGAAAATAATCTAAACTAAAATTAATCTAAAACAAATCTTAAAATTAAAACTTATTAATTACCCAATAAGAAAATATTTATTTTAAGAATAATTAATAGTAATAGAAATAGATTTGCGTTTTCTTTATTCAGTCTATAAATTATTATAAATGTGTAAATTTACCATTCCGTTTTCTTTAGATGTTTTAAATAAACATTTATCCCGAGGAAAGTATCGATCGTTTATGCATCTCATAAACAAATGGAAAATTAAATAAAAGGTAATTTTCAACGGAAGAACGGGATTTTTCAGTATATATTTTGAAATATTAACATTTTCACATAAAAAAGAAACATGGTCTAAAGAACAGTAAATATTATCTGAATACAGTTAGATTGCGCAGCACGTGATCCGGAATGAGATTAAATGTTAGTTGATTCAATAATTTATTATACGAAGAAAATCTTGGTAATGAGCTGAAAACGATTACTGAATATTTTACACATGAATGCAATATTATGAGCTTTTTTACCACAATTAATATTTGAATCTATAATTAAATAAATATCAATTTTATTCAGTTTATAAATTTTTATTTATTATATATTTCAAGAATATTGATCATACTAAAATATTCAATACTATTCTAGGGTATTCTCTTAAAAATTAAATAATCATATATAATTAAATAATTATATTATCATAAAAATTAAATAATCTTAATAATGCCATTGAATTAATTAGGAACAAAACGGTGTTTCAGAGTGAAAGGCGTTCGGGGAAAGATTCTAGTGAATGGAAAAGTTAGGGTTCCGTACAGTGAGAGATGGAAGAGAACATCATGCTACATACAACAGGAATCCCTAATGAGAACAAGGATCACCGTGGGAGAAGCCATGACATTAGCTGCACACTTAAAACTTGGCTACAGTATAAATTCAGCCTATAAACACACTCAAGTTTGTAACCTGCTATACAATTCTAAACTACATATTCAAAATCAATTTCAAATGTTCTCCATTATTTAACAACAAAATAATTTATTTGAAAATTGTATAATAGAAAAATGTAAAAATCCTACAAAATTATGAATGATTAAAAACATCATAATGTCTTACAATTGCTACAAGCATTTCTAGAAATTTTTTAAATTACATTTTTGAATAAAAATGTCTAATTTAACAATGTAAAAGTCTACAAAATACTGATACTGTTTCACATTATTAAAGCTTTAAAGATCTCAAAAAATTTTCAAGTAGTTGAAAGAATTAATGATATAAAAATATCTAATTTAATATTAAACTCAATTTATGCAATGTGGATTAATATGACGATAATACATTTAATAAAGGGTAATGTATTTTTTGTTATCAGGTTTTGGAACTCTTAGAAATGTTAGGATTAAGCCATTGCTATGACACCCTTTGTGGAAAGTTGTCCGGCGGACAGAAAAAGCGACTTGACGTCGCTCTGGAGCTTTTAAGTAATCCTTCAGTATTATTCCTCGACGAACCAACAACCGGTAATTACGAAATACTCCTGTACGGACACTAAGCACTAGACGTTGCGTTTAAGATGTTTTTCGAATTTTGCTTTTTACTTAATGCTATCAAGATTATGGTTATAGATATGAAAGAAGGATGGTGCTATTAAGAAATAAATTGGAACTAGACACATATAAATTTATTTTACAATTTCTTAATTCTACATCATCGTGTATTACAAGAATTTCGAACAACTTTTAATATTAATTGCATAAAAATTTCTAATTTAAAATTACAGAAGTTTACAAAATATGATATTAAGAACAATATTGTTTAATCGAAGTTTCTTTATGTAACCAAACATCTTTATCTATCAATAGCTTTTTAATGGATCTTTAACTATAGATTCGAATTTGCGTTGTTTTAATGGATTTAATATCAGTCGCACATGGCAAATTTACGATAGAAAAAAACCGGTAACGACGAACGTGTTTGTTTGAGACAACACTGATAGTCAATTGCTACTAGTTGAATCCATTATAGGTCGTATCATAGAATGCTTGGAACGTTTCATCCTACAAGGTCTTTACTGGTGCGATACAGACGCTTTGCAATAACAAATACAATTTACTATACACGATTCTCATCCATCATTCTATTCTAATTCTACATAAATATTGATATATCAATTGTTAGTTTTAAGATAATTCTAATAAAGAAATATAGATTAAAAAGTTGAGTAACTTTAATTATAGAAAGTATAAGTAAACTAATAATTTGTATATGTATATTGTGCAATAGTATGATAGATCTTTTATGTTGTGGATACAAAATATAAAAATCTCCTATCGGAGTAGGCGGTGCAGCATTTTGTAATGACTAATTTCAGTTTAGTTGCATCATTGCCGCTGATGCATGTTACAAAGCACAACAGCATTTCCGGGTATCGCCAGTTCATGTATCTTAGAAACATGTAAAAATTATTTTTATAATTTAGCGATGTCTTGACAACATATTAGTGACATACTAACTTTTATTGAACATAATTATTTAGACGTTATGATAATAATCCATAATATACATAACTAGATTTCGGATTTATGCAACTATGCATATAAATATATAAAAATACACAGAATGTGTATACGAAAATATATAAAATATACAAAATAGAATATTCGTTATAGTTATATACAATGGATGGAACAAATCTCTATGTAAATTCTATTTTTTAGTTATGATCATAAAAACACAAAACTGCATAAATATCCGCAGTCTATACACAACGATAATTTGAAATCTCAAATTATCTTTAAGTCCTAGTGTTTTAATACTGAATTATGAAAGACAGATACGTAACATGTTTCAGAAATCATTAAGTTCTTAATACTTATATCTTCAGCATTTCAATTAGTTTTAAAATTTTTATCAGTAGACAATGCACATGTTTATGTTATATATAATATATATTATATTTTATTTATTAATTTATAGGTGTATCCAAAGTACTGTATTTCCCAAGTTGTACTCACAAAGATATATTATTTATTTATTATTGTTTAGTCCGTGCCTTTCGGCTTTGGACGAACTTTCGGTTTTACATCTCTTATGTTTATTTCTCTTCTTATATGTCTACCCCCCCCCCCCTCTTTTCCACTCTATTCTATTGCACTCCCTTAATTATTCTATCTCTAAAAACTAAAACTAGAAACTACAAATTAGCAACTAATTACTAAAAACTATTGCAACTTTGGTCTGTAGCCTCCTTGCTGTGGATCCTTCCTGTCGTTTCCCCTTCTCTTCTCTATTATTGCCTTCAGTTCTGTTAAACCTTCTACAGTCTCATTTAGCGTTTTTCCTATGTCCTTTGGTCCTCGCGTTATTTCACATTCTTCTATTACATGTCTCAGATCTTCTTCTTTCCTTCTACATAGTCTGCATCTTTTTTCTCCCTCTTCTTTCCAGTATTTCTTGCTTTGATCTCGTTTCCACATCTGAATCTTGCCAGTATTTTGTCCTTCCATTTCATCCTCCCTTCTAAGTACTTTGGTAATTTTTCTTTGGCTATATTTCTGTGGCATATATTATATATAGATTCCCTTATTCTTTTCCCCCTCTCTTCTGCTCCTTTCTTTCTTTTTTCTTCTATAATTTGGTCTGCTGTCATCCTTTCTTGCTCCTCTCCTGCTTCTATCTGCAACCCTCCCTTTCTCACCTCTTCTAGTTCCTTCTTTCTCTTTCTTGCTCTTTTCTCTTCATGGCCATTTCCCCAGTTTCTCTCTCTTTCCTTTATACACTTCTTTACTAATTCCATTTTTGATTTTAGGGCTTCCTCTTCATACCTTGCTGCTCTTTTTAATGCTTTTTCTTTTATTTCTATTATCTTGCATTCTTTCATCAATATATAATTTGGTGTTGTCATATCTAAGCCTAATATCCATTTCGCATATCTCCTTTGTACTCTATCCAGTCTTTCTTGCATGTTCCAGCCCCATACGTCTGCTCCAAACAACACCACACTCTCTACCAGTGCTCCAAACATCTTCATTCTCCTTTTGTAGTCCTATTTGAATATTCTTTCTCCAACGTTCCATGTTTTCTTCATTGCAATTGTTGCTCTCTTTTTCCTATTTTGTATGTGCTCTCTTTATCCTGTCCTTTATCCTTATTGCTCTCTTCTCCTGTCTTGTATGTGCTTCTCATCATTGCCGTTTTTCTGTAGTATATACCCTAGGTATCTTATCTAGTCCACCTCTTCTAATTCTTGCTCTCCCAATTTCCATTTTCTCACAAAGATATAAAATTCCACAAACGTTAGCAGTCTACTTATAACATAAAAATTATTTAAAGGTTTTATACAAATAATCCTTAAATTTTTTAAAATCTTGAAATCCTAAAAAAAATTCAAAAGTTTTTTTTGTAATTTTAGGTTTGGATTCGTCTTCGTGCAGCCAGTGCGTCGCGTTGTTGAAGCGTCTTGCTAAAATAGAAAGGCGTACGATAATATGCACGATACACCAACCAAGTGCGTTGCTCTTAGAGATGTTTGATGCCATTTACGCGGTTGCCGGTGGATATTGCATATATAGGGGGTCGGTTAAATCTCTGTTGCCTCATATGTCCTCGATCGGTATTGATTGCCCGCCTTACCACAACCCAGCTGACTTTCGTACGTACAGCGACATTCCTTTCGGGTCATTTTCATGTTTACAGTCGAACCACACTGTATGAAATGTGCACTCTGTTCAAGGTCATCAAAGAAAAATCTATCACTACATCGTAAAACTACATACATCAAAAGATGGCATTATGGATCTCTTTTTTATTAATTATTGATTTTATTATCGTGTTTATTTCTCTTTTTACAATTTTGATATTTTATTATTTACTTTATTTTTCACCTTTTTAAATAATATTTATCTGTTATTTCTGTAATATTTCTAATATTTTACATAATGAATTCTGATAATATATGTACTGAGAATCCTATTGGCCTTGAATAGACGTTATTCATTCACAATTTTGCGATGATAATAAAATTGTAATACAACTGTGCACACGTTTATTGTTACAGTTTTAGAAGTAGCGATCGGAGATTACGGCGTTACTGTGGACAAATTAGCAGCTGCTGTGGAAACAGTGTCTAAAGATGACAATAAGGCCGTTACTTACGCGATGAAATCACAGTTAGAAGGTAGTTGTAACATTTCCTTACTCACCTATATCTTTTTATATTCTCATATTTTCCACTTACTATAACTGTACATATCTATGAAGTTTCTTCTACTATAACTGTACATATGTATGAAAGTTAACTCACTCAGAGCAAACACTGGGTTAACACAATATTGCGTTTAAGTACTTTCCAGTCAATTTACATTACATATCTAATTCTTTTTTCTTTACATTGTGGCTATGAAAGAGAATTCTAAAAATTCGTGCGTTAACACAATATTGTGTTTAAGTACTTTTCAGTCAATTTACATTACATATCTAATTCTTTTTTCTTTACATTGTGGTTATGAAAGAGAATTGTAAAAATTCGTGTGATAGTTTTTCGTCGATATATATTTCTTCCAAGAAACCTAGATTCTATAATAGTACGGAATTATTTAAATATTTATAACATTAGAATCACAAGAAATTGAATTATAATATTTATAATATTATGATAAACTACGTATTGTTTGGTCCTTAATCAATGTCCATTCGTAACCCCATAATTCGTTTAATTTTACAGCCCCGCCGATTTATTATGTTATTACTTCGTTTTGTTAACATAGAAAGCGCAAATGAACCACCAACACCTGCAGGATTCATCGCACAATGTTACCTACTTTATAAGAGACAATTACTTTGCCTCAAAAGAGACTACACATTATTGGTAGTACGATTGTTGTGTCACCTGTTAATTGGAATAATCTTCGGCTATCTGTACATGGGAAGCGGTTACAGAGCGAACGGTGTCCTTGCTAATTACGTTTACCTGTATGGATCGTTACTACTACTCGTTTACACGGGTAAAATGGCCGTCACACTTGCCTGTGAGTATTCACTACATTGAATTACTATTCTAAACTTTTATTATTATTAAAATCTTAAATTTGACAGAGAAGTTTTAAGTGTTTCATTCTTTTTACTGAAATAAAGCCTGGGTTTCAGTCCTAAAGTCAAATTTCTTCAGTTGTGCATAAACATATGAACATTTTACTTATAAAATTTATACTAAGTAAGTATATGATACACTAAAATGTATACACATATATGTATAATATAATAGTGGGATTAAGAACTAGGAAACTTTCTCCCCTAAACTACTTACCAATCTCTTTCTCAAGAGCCGTTTCTCTGTATTTCTTTTTTTTTAAATCAATGATCAATAGCTATACTAATTTGTATATATTAAGTACTTTGTTTCTTTCCTTTTTCTCAAAGTACCTGTAATTTCATTTCCATATATATAACAGGTTTTTTTAAAATTTGCCCCCTGCATATTTAACAGCTTTATGAACGCCGACATCGTGAAAAATTTAACACTAATCGTTCTTCTCTTGGAAGATTAGTATAGTATGTATAACTGAACTTTATAAAATTGGAACTTCACCTTTCTCATTAACCAAAATATTTAGAGGAACCAAATTCTGAAATTACTCAATTTTTTCCTAATATTAACTATGACTTTTTGGAGAATTTAAAAATTATATTTAACTCTACTAGTAAGATAGCTACTTATCTATTAACATTTCAGTTATGAACGAGAGAGTATAATTTAATTATTGTTAAATATATTATTAGATTACTAAATAATATAATAATATTAACCCTTTGCACTCCTGTGTCGAATGTGACTCGACATCAGTTTTTATCTCAGGAGCTCCTTTGTTGAGTCCCACTCGACATTCTTTCAATCCCATCTTTTTTTGTGAAACATTCGAAAGAAAAGTAGGATTGCATCCTGGAAATTGTTTCAAGATATATCATACACTTAAAAATTACAAAATACAACGATAGTGTAAATAAAACTGCTATTAAGTGAATTTGTTTCTTCCTTTATTTATTTAAATTGTCTTATTTTTTAGTTAAAGTAAATTTCAAATAAAACACTTAAAAACGTTGGGAGCTGCTGGTAACGAAATTGAAATAAAATTCAGAGTGCAAAGGGTTAAATAATTATTAAAAGGGAGTTACATAGTAACGAAGAAGAAGGAATAGTGCAGTTCAGTTTTCACGGTTTGATCCTTCCTTTACATTGCTATAATTTCGCGCCATCAATAGGGGAAATGTAGGTCAAGGAAGCATGGTGTATGATCATATCTTAGGCTAAGTCGCAAGTCGTAATGCACAGGAGAGTTAACAGTATCTCTAGTGGCCATTCACTCCCATCGGCTATATGTATCTTTTTTGCTTGTGAAGTTACCCGATCGTGTCGACACTCCTGTTTTACCTACGTATACTATATTCTTGCTTATTTAAATTGTAGCCATAAATGGTTGCCATTGCCCTAGTCTATTCAATTTATATGCTTCCTTCTTCTTCGCTTATTTTTTCTTTGCCTTTTTTTTAGAAAGCGTTTCGAGGTAGATTCGATCTAAACTACTATAATCTCTATAACGATAAAAAAAATATCCAAAAACGATGCAATAAAAGCATCAAAATAAATTGTTCTCTGATTTGAATTTTGAAGTTCAAAGACTATTTTGTTTCAATCTTGATTAGAGACTAATTCAATTTAGAATAATCATAACAAGTATCATACATAAAATATAACATCATAACATGTACATAATGTACAAAATTACACAAACTAGAATACTCGTTATAATATCTAGCATGTGAAACAAATCTCTGCATAGATCCAATTTTTTTAATTGCGTTTGTAAAAAATATAATCAAAGTAATTATAATTTCAATTTGTATTTAAGACTTGCATATATGTACTCAAAATATGATATGAATTTATAGTGTTTGAATTACTTTTAGTTCCACAAGAAATGCGGATACTCAGCAGGGAACACTTTAATCGGTGGTATGGGCTAGCACCGTACTATATCAGTCTACTGCTCGTCGAAATACCGTTTCAAGCAGCTTGTGCAGCGACCTATTTAACTGTGAGTTACTGGTTAACAGGGCAACCCATAGAAACTCCTCGCATAATTTCTTTCATGGTTGTCAGCATAGCCGCTAGTTTAACAGCTCAAGCATGGGGCTTTTTTATTGGCGCGACCACGCCAGTGAAGGTGTGTATTATTATAGTGGCCATATGAAATATTTTAATAATATGACAATAGCCATATAAGATTTTTTTTTTTTAATATTTATTAAAATTACAATCAATTCTCGCGTTTTTTCAGTAAGCCATATAAGATGTTCCAAAATATTTAATTGATTGTGCTAATGTCTTTTGTTTGGAACTACATTACACATAAATAATCCATGAGGAATAAAAGGCTCTCTTTCTTATGCAGTATATGGATGTTATGCGCACATAGATGCGCAAAATCTAGACTATCGATTTTTCAAAGCTTGTTAAAATATAGTTCCTAAAATTTACGATGTATTGAGTTTGATTAATTCGTTACGCAATATTAATCTTTACAATAATATCTTGAAATATTTAAGAGTGCTATTGTTGGATAAATATTAAGAAAAAGGGAAATCTTTATTGATAGCTTATGCATCGTTTTATTATGCAAATTTCTCAATATTTCTGAAAACCAAAGTAAAAGATATAAGAGGTATTCTTTTTAAAAAGAGGATTTTAATATTCAATCTTTTTATGTCCCTAGATCGCGGTATTCGCAGGACCCATAATTGCAGTGTTATTTTCCGTATTCGGGTTCTGTATTCGATACATGGATACGCCACAGATGTTCCGATGGATGTTTCATATATCATACTTTCGCGCTAGTTTCCACAGCCTGTTACACACTGTCTACGGTTTCGATCGGATGGACTTGAAATGTGACGACTTCTATTGTCATTATAAGAAACCAACACAATTCCTTAAAGAAATGGAGATAGTCAACATAAGCGTCGCGAACAATCTCATTTTAATTATTGGTATCGGCGTCTTAATGCATTTATTAACTGCCAGTGCTCTCTGGTGCAAGCTTAACAGAAGATAAGAACTACTTATTTTCTATCTTTGATATTTCAATATCGTTATCAGCCAATTATATGCGATCTTCTTTACCATAGAAGATAGCGCTGAAAGACTTCCTTCAAGGCCTTGTAGGAACGGATCGAAAAACGTTGAATTTTTTGTATCAAGAACTATAGAAATTATCTATTAAACGTTTATGAAGTAAATTCTTTTGTACTGTACTTATGAATTGTACAAAAATTGTGTTGATATCTTAACATTTGAAAACGTGTAAAAATTATGGATTAGTTGTCGATGGCAATGTATGAACTTAATCGTACTATTAGCAAGTAGAGTTTCTGAATATAGATGTATCGCTACACGTTATTCAATAATTATCACATTACTCCGTGATTGCCGGGATTATTACCTTATTGTACGTCTTTTTTATCGGATCTCTTATATCAGAGACTTTCGTAGGAAATGAGTCACGAAAGCTTTAAAATGTACTGTAGTCTCGAATACCTTTAAGAGTTACATAAATGTAATGTAGGATGCACATAATAGCTAAGAAAAAATTCTATTTTTTTATCACGTTTTCATATATTACAATGTTATTGATAGTCTAATGGTATTGATAATTAGATTGCAGATTTTTATGCGTTCATACAGAACTTAAAAATGCGAAATGTATACACAATATACAAAAATACATAAATATTTAAAATATAGTACTCATCGTAATATTCAGTAGATGAAATAAATTATATTAGATTTTATTTCTTGTATTCATAAAAGTATAAATTTGCATAAAAACTCGAGATCTATTGATGATAGTATATTAAATCATTCAATATACTATTTATATGCTACGATTAAAAATAAAATCGACGGTCTATGTTAGGTGTAATTATTGCACTGTTTACGATACGATTAATTTGAAAAATTAATCGAGAATCAAGCAAGTTATCAATTTGAAACATTGAAAGTGATATTGGAACATTAACAAAAATTAAGCACTTGGTTATACTAAAAGTATATGACATTATAGAAATTATAATATTAAGATCAGGGCATTGTTTATATCATTTTCCAGTCAGTAGGCGATGGTCTCAAAAAGTTATCGTGTGCTTATTTTGCTTATAGCGGACTAGAAAAATTGTTGGATTAATTCCTCAGAAAACGTCACGTCTTTTTTTCCATTTTTATTATAACAGATGTAACTATTTTCTGTGATATATTTGTTAGACATTTCCATAACTTTACATAAATAGCAGTGTGTAAATGTAATTTTATGTAAATTAAAAATCTAGAATTAATTCGTAAGAATGAACCGTGACAATTTTAGATGTTTATTGAAAAATATATTCCTATTACAAAATATTTGATCTGTATCAATATTGAAATCGGAAGTTTCAATTATATTTTTCACTATTTCAACACTCCTATACTGTATTTATTATTTGTATAAATATCTTTACTTGCGGAAGGATAAGTTATTAATTTATATATGATATTATACAATAAGAAATAAAACTGTTTATGAATAGGTTCTGTCTATTATTCATTAACTTCTACAACAATACTTATCTTACTTATTTACATTTACATTACAATAAAAAAATGTCTGAACTTTTCCTCATAGCAAGTGGAGATAAACAGAATTAAACAAAATGTTACAATCGAAATCTGCATTTTTTTTATGTTAAAAAGAAAAACTAATAGTGATGTAGAAAGAAAAAGGGCTATTTTATATATTTAGTTTTTATTTTACGTTGTGTATCCAATCTGTTTCTATACTCGGATACATTATTAATTTTTTTTCTTGCATTAATATCATATACAGATAAAACACTAATACATTTCCCCTAATCTATCTTAATTGATATCATAAAGTGATCAGGGGAAAAGTGATGATTTCCTTTCGCATAAATTACGTAAGTTTAAGACAAAACTATAGCTCGTCTCACGCGGGCGCACGCACATATCTTTGTTTTCAGAGTTAAATGAAATCTCTACAGGAAACGAATTTCAAGAGATCATGTGAATACCAACAACTCCATAACGAATTTCTTCTACAAATATACATACAGATATATCTTATGATTACTGTTGTGTGTAGTGTTCACTATATTAAGAACATGATACAATCAAACAAAACATACAAGAAAAACATAAAAAAAACATACCGTCATAAGAAAACATACTAAAACGATGCAAGAGTATCGATAGCATGCTTTTCACGTGAATAAAAAATAAAAATAGATTTTCATGGCGATAATACACTCTTCCGTGTTATAAATGTTTATTGAACAATCTTATAATGAACACACACAATCAAGTACTGTGATTTATTAATGATACTCTTCTAAAGCAAAAAAGATAATTAACATGACTTGCCACGTTAAAGGGATCAATAGTCGTCACAGAAAAATTTTAAAAATTTTTAGTTATATTTTTAATTCGTTAAACATTTCTGTAATCAACAGAAATACATTATTAATTTCTATAACGTGAATGAATCAAGGATTATGTATTCGTAAACATCTTATGTAAAAATTGTACTTTAAGGAAATACATCGCACACTGAATTTTTAGGGGTAATTTGTTATATTTTTCAGTATGATAATTTATATATCATATATCATACACATTTGTTATTTATAAAAATTTTACAGAATAAATATGACATGACAAAATACAAAAGGAACTATACATTAAACATATATTCGCAAATAACTACTGAACCCTTCTAACAGTGGTTTATTATAATGAACGCCTTTAAATACAGTTCTACACACGCATTTAGTGACGCATTACAATTTAACATGATCTTTACCAAGATATATGCAATGCAAATCTCTGAAATATTCAATTTTCGATTACTTCTATCCATAAAACAAAGTAAAAAATTCTTTTTCAATTACGAGATTTTATACGAGACTCGCCGCTTAAAAACTTTTCAATTCTATTCATATTCTGCAAATATATACAGAAGTATATAGCATAAAATTTATTATTTCTTCTTTAATCCTTAAGAATTCGCTGAATGACATCATCCTGTCTTTAATAATCTGTCGAATACAATAAATCATTCTAACTGCGTGTAAATACAAGAGAACAAGAAAAAACACTATGCTTTCTTTTCATTTTGCGTAACAAATTCTGAATTTGTATTAGTTCGTTACTAGTTATACTAGTTACGTGATAAATAGTTAAAAACGAAGCTGCTTTAATTATAGCCATGAATGAATGAAACGTGTCGAAGGGAGGTGTAATTTGTAACACTGTGGTTTCCTTAATATCTTTCTTTTCTCGAAGAGATATTGTAACATCAATATTGAACTTCTTTTTCATTCGACAATATTGGAGTATAATTTATTAATTTTTATTACAACGAATCCAATCAATAAACTATGGCATACTTAAAAATAAGGGAGACATTAAAAAAACAGCGAAACGAAACAGAAAGAAAGAATAAAACGAAGAGAAATGAGATAACGAGACGAAAATGAAGAAAAGTAAAAATTTATCAAATTTGGTCTGTTCTTAACAACGTATACGTTTAGAAAAGACCAAATGATTAGGTACAATTGTTTCGTATATGGTATGTACAATAAATTGATTATTTGTCTCTATTGATTATTTACAACGAATCGTATATAATTTTTCGTTCTAATCACAATGTTTCGACTGTTTCACCTTTCTTTGCGCCTCCGATTCATCCTCCGTGCCATACAGATGATACCGGTGCTTCATTTCGGTCGCAACAGACTTCAATAAAAATCAATCGAAACAATAAAAAGTCAACATAAGTTTGTGATAAAGGAATAAAATTATAGATAAAACATAAAACGACAGAAATAAAAAAAAGTCAGGTGAATCGTATAAAAAAAGAATCCTATTTCTAAAAATCCTACCAGAGTATTCACGGCGGAATAAATTAGTTTGTCACTAAACTCACCAAACGTGACCGAACTCTTTTTGGCATATCTTCCTGTAAGCTGTATATGTCGTTTCGCTTCAATGGAAGTTGGGAACCATCCTCAAAAATCACCTAAAATTAAAAACGTTAATAATATCATATAATGATAAGATTTAAAAATGTTACTAATAAAAATTAATATTACGATACTTTTTTTTAGAATTATGAATTACTTACAGTATACATAATCCGGTGATTTGTACCTTCGAAAATACCATTATACATGTTGCCATCTGTCCACTTCACAACAACTGCAGCTCCTTGTTGTGGTGGATTTCCAGGATCGTAATTCTGTAAAGAAGAATAAAATTCTACTTTAAGATAAAATTCATATAGAAAATGAAATTAGAGTGTACAATAAGAACTTACCATAATATCTGATGGATATAAATCATCGCTGAAACTATCATCATTGAACGTCACCATATAAAATAAAGTATCGTGTATGGAATCTACTTTGGCCTTATAATATCGTGTATTTCGATGCTTTGCCCAAACAGTTTCTCCTTGTCGAAGCGGTGGTATTTTTTCTTTTCCATCGTCATGTCCGTCACACGTTACCTATACATAACCCCCATTATAATTTCAACATAGTTTCACATATATTTGATTTTTACACATATATACTAGTAGAACTCTATTTATTGGAACGAAATTTTATGTAATGACCGATTAACTGAACTTTTGGTAGTTGAATTTACTTATGTAAACGTGAGCTTCTATTATGTAAACGAAAAATTATAGATCATGAGGAAAATTGATGAGCTCGTATTATATGAACTCTAATTATATAAATTATTTGTCCCCCAACAAATTCAAATAAATATAGTTCTACTGTATATTGTTTATATATTATATATATTATACCCTTATTCTCTGTGATGTATATACCTGAAGTTCAGGTGAATTGTATACGGGAATCGTAAACGTAGCGCCAGAGACGAGACCACAAGACGGATGAAACAGATTGCTACAGTGACTACATTTAAGACATGCGCCATCCTTTTGCCCACAATAACAACACTGTTGTTTAACATTATCTGGTTTGATAGTCAATACGTTAATGGGGTCCTTATTTATAGCATCCTTAAAAGTGACTCCAGGTAATAAAAGAGCGCATAGTATATGTGCCCAATTACCATCGCTGGTTCGCTTAAGAGCTCCTCCCCGCATAGGACACAAACAACACATCTACGTAATGGTGAAAAGTAATTAGAAAGTTTGTTAAGAACAGAAACAAGACTATGGTTATCCCCAGCGATTTTCAACATTTTTTATCATACATAAATTAATTACTAAAATTTTGCAGTATATATTTGCAGATTGAAGACAGAGCATTCATGCCGGACAGCTATTGTTTTAGTCAGTTTTTTATTTGACAATCTAAAGGAAATGAGGTCAGTGATTCTAGCCAAATAGTAAGGCATTGCATGTTTTAAAAATTCATGGAATACCTATGGACATCGCATGGAACAGTAATTAAAAATCGTTGACTGTAACCATAGTCTACCTATACAAAATGGAAATTCCACAGATACGCACCACTTGTGTTTTACCAGCTTTGCACTTATCGCAAGCCCAATTTCGTAAATCTGTAGGTAAAACAGTGATTCCATAACAGGAGGCATGAACCGTGACATGACACTCTCTACAACGTAAAATCTTATCATTTTCCGGTTCAACCATTTGTTCTTTTGAGTTGGCAACGAATATATTCGCAGATACCTAAAAAAAAAAAAAAACGTTTCTATAATATTTCTTCTAGGTATTTGTATTGTCAAATGAAGAGAAATTCTACCTACCCATATCGGTGAACTCTCTGGTAAAACGGTGGGCTTACAATATTTCCAGTCTGGTGGCATTAACCTGCCATGTCCATTACAACTTGAGGTAAACGGTGCGCAAATGGCACAGTGAGATATTTGAGCACTCCAATAATCATTGAATGCTTTTAGTAAATCATTATTTGGAACGGTAGGATACAACATGTCCGATATATGTCCTGGTACCATTGATACACGATGAGACACCAAAGGTGATTGATCCACAGAGCACGTAACTATATTTGACTCCTCCAAATTCGACGTTGCTGCAACCATTTTCATCTCAGTGGATTCTTTTTTTCTAGTGGTTGCTTTCTTCAATTTTTCTTTTAATTTCCG